CCCACAGCAACAACACCCCAGCTTACACAACCACCCACAGCAACAACACCCCAGCTTACACAACCACCCACAGCAACACCACCCCAGCTTACACAACCACCCACAGCAACACCACCCCAGCTTACACAACCACCCACAACAACACCACCCCAGCTTACACAACCACCCACAACAACACCCCAGCTTACACAACCACCCACAGCAACAACACCCCAGCTTACACAACCACCCACAACAACACCACCCTAGCTTACACAACCACCCACAACAACACCCCAGCTTACACAACCACCCACAGCAACAACACCCTAGCTTACACAACCACCCACAGCAACACCCCAGCTTACACAACCACCCACAACAACAACACCCCAGCTTACACAACCACCCACAGCAATACCCCAGCTTACACAACCACCCACAACAACACCCCAGCTTACACAACCACCCACAGCAACAACACCCCAGCTTACACAACCACCCACAGCAACACCACCCCAGCTTACACAACCACCCACAACAACACCACCCCAGCTTACACAACCACCCACAGCAACAACACCCCAGCTTACACAACACCCACAACAACAACACCCCAGCTTACACAACCACCCACAGCAACACCACCCCAGCTTACACAACCACCCACAACAACAACACCCCAGCTTACACAACCACCCCAGCTTACACAACCACCCACAGCAACACCACCCCAGCTTACACAACACCCACAACAACAACACCCCAGCTTACACAACCACCCACAGCAACACCACCCCAGCTTACACAACACCCACAACAACAACACCCCAGCTTACACAACCACCCCCAGCAACATATAAAGCACCTACCTTCCTGGGCCAAATCATCCAGAGTAAACAATTTCGTAAATCGTCGCGTAAATGTCTTCAAAATATCGTTATTGTTATTATTTAACTCCATCTTGGTGTTTTCTTATTGTCCACAGGTAAGGACCAGGTGCTAGGTCTAGGGTGGGTGGAGCTACGAGGTCTCCACACTCGCTAACACTGTAACACCAACACTTAACAGTTATCAGGTGTGTATATCGCCCCATATGTAGTTATATACATATTACACACAAATGCACAAAGAGTGATATTACTATTAACATCACACGGGTGAATCACTGGAATTAATGCTTTAAGAACATAGGATACCACCACAAACTACATGTGTCTATATCACTATACACGTGTGTGTCACCATGAACACTACAAGTATTTGTCCAATATACTCATTCTCACCCCCTGAGAACACCACAATGCACACACCACCACCGCTAACAATTACATGTCATATCTTCTTATTTCCACAACTGCCTCACTAGCAAGTGCTTACACGCCTATCTCAAGCAATTAAAAAAAATTATTATTTTTTAACTATCACAGCGAGAGCACATCCGGAGCCGTGAGGCACGGGAAAATGAACTCCGCAAGCTATACCGACTGCGGCAACTGCAACCTTTCTGTGGCCATTTAATCTCGTTCTTTGGAGATCGCCCTCAAAGTCCGCCATCACCACCACCACCACCCCCAGACACAGCCTCGCCCTCACCACCCCCAGACACAGCCTCACCACCACCACCACCCCAGACACAGCCTCACCACCACCACCACCCCCAGACACAGCCTCACCACCAACACCACCCCAGACACAGCCTCACCACCAACACCACCCCAGACACAGCCTCACCACCACCACCACCACCACCCCCAGACACAGCCTCACCACCACCACCACCCCCAGACACAGCCTCACCACCAACACCACCCCAGACACAGCCTCACCACACAGCCTCACCACCACCCCAGACACAGCCTCACCACCAACACCACCCCCAGACACAGCCTCACCACCACCACCACCACCACCCCCCAGACACAGCCTCACCACCACCACCACCACCACCACCCCCCAGACACAGCCTCACCACCACCACCACCCCCCAGACACAGCCTCACCACCACCACCACCCCAGACACAGCCTCACCACCACCACCACCCCAGACACAGCCTCACCACCAACACCACCCCAGACACAGCCTCACCACCACCACCCCCAGACACAGCCTCACCACCACCACCACCCCAGACACAGCCTCACCACCAACACCACCCCAGACACAGCCTCACCACCAACACCACCCCAGACACAGCCTCACCACCAACACCACCCCAGACACAGCCTCACCACCAACACCACCCCAGACACAGCCTCACCACCACCACCACCCCAGACACAGCCTCACCACCACCACCACCCCAGACACAGCCTCACCACCACCACCACCCCAGACACAGCCTCACCCCCCAGACACAGCCTCACCACCAACACCACCCCAGACACAGCCTCACCACCAACACCACCCCAGACACAGCCTCACCCCAGTCCTAGGCAAGTATTGAACTTTCCATTACTAATCTAATGCCACAAAAAAAGCACCATGTCCATCCTCGTACCGAGAGATTTGTTTATATGTCAGATTCCTGCACACAACTTCCATCTTTCTAAATGTTACTTAGCAAGTGACGAGACAACTGTAACAATTAACTAGTACACCAATACTGGCTATCAACACTGTTGTACTATAGTCATCAGGTGGCTGTGATAAGTTGATAACACCCTGATTGTTATCATCCAGGCACACTTGACAATCGCTCCTATTAACTCTCATTATCAAGCGATACAATTTCATAGGTAAACGTTACAGTGTACGGTGTTCGTTCAGCCCGACCTCTCGAGCACCCATAACGTCATAAACTTATGTAATAAATTGCCCAAACCTAACCTAACCAAGGACCTCCCAAATAGAAAACGGAACATCACGTCAATTTTGTGAACTGCTATGATTTTTAGTCCATCAGTTTCAGGCCATAGGGGATTTGTACGTCAAAATACGATGTACTACTCGAGAGGAAAGGTTCTTCGTTAACCAGCTCATCCTCTAACCACTGTACTGCGCAGAGCGCCCAAGGCGCTCTAAGATTTGCTATTTTTTTTAATAAGGCTATACAGTATTTGAATATTTTTTAATGTTTTCATCATTGTTTTGAAGTGAAAATGATTGAGTTTAGAAACATTTTGACATTAACTTTACTAGCTAGATTTGTCACTACGGACAAAGCGATGTACTAAATTTCCCTAGCTTACCTAAGCGACAACCCATGCATAGAAAACTATCTATATTGACCCACTATGATTTATAATACTGTACATCATATTTTGGACATTTGGGGATTTTAAAGTCAAAATACTATACATTATTCAAGGAGAAAGGTTGCATTAATATTGCTTCTCTTTCAAACACAAGTATTCCCTCCCTAGAAAGATGGAGAAATAGAAACCCAAGTCCTCACTCGCCAGTAGTATCTGTTAGGCAAGCACACGCCTAGTGGCTGAGTGGACAGCACTCAGGATTCGTAATCCTGGACACCGGGATTCAATCCCCGGCAATGGCGGGAAAACAAATGGGCAGTTTCTTTCACCCTGATGCCCCTGTTACCTACATGGTTGACACATGATTGATGGGGTTCTGGGAGTTCTACTCCCCAGGCCAGGCTTGACGTATGAGAGTTTGGTCCACTATGTTGTTGCTTGCAGTGGCCCGCAGGCCCACATACCCACCGCAGCCCGGTTGGTCCGGCACTCTTTGGAGGAAACTATCTAGTTTCCCCTTTAGATGTCCACTGTTGTTCCGGCAATATTTCTTATGCTTGCTGGGAGTATGTTGAACAACCGTGGATCTCTGATGTTCATACAGTTCTCTCTAATTGTGCCTATAGCACCCCTGCTCTTCACTGCTTCTATTCTGCATTTTCTTCCATATCGTTCACTCCAGTATGTTGTAATTTTACTGTGCAGATTTGGGACCTGGCCCTCCAGTATTTTCCACGTGTATATTATTTGATCTCTCTCCCGTCGTCTTTCTAGCGACGGGAGACCTAGCGACCTAGCAGTAAATACATACCTGGGAGTTGGACAGCTGTTACAGGCTGCTTCCTGGGGAAAGGGTGTTTATGGGGAGGGGGGAATTTATCGTTGATTGACAGGCGAGCTGAAAGACCCAGAGCTCAACCCTCGCAAGCACAACTACGCAAATACAAAAAGGTGAATACACACCAATTGCTGGATTGATCGTTCAATCCATCCATCCACATACTCTACCATTGTAATGAAATCATTCACTCCCCCATTCTAATCACATGGTTCATCTTAAGGACAGCACATTTCATTCACCCACACTCCCGCCATTCACCCTCCCTCAGTCTAGTCATACACGGCTCCACTCCATGCTGCTAACCCCCACAGTCACCTTTCTTCCATTCATACACTCACCCCCCCAATTCTATCACACTCCCATTCCATTCATTATTAGATTCCCTTATTCGTCCACCCACCCATTCTTAACCCCTCCCCACCCCAACCTCTATCACCAACCCATTTCCTCTATCATCCAGTGATTCTTCCCCTCCCCCCCCTTCCTCTAACCCACCCATTTCCTCTTCACCCTGCCTTCCAATCCCTTGTTCCAACCATTTTTTTTTCCCATGCACCATTCCCCTCTCATACCCTAAATCTACCTCTTTCCTCATCAACCTTCCCCGCCAATTACTGGAGAACATGAAAACTATCACATACATTTTTATTAATACAGGAAGAAGAAGGTTTTACCATTAGGCAATTCAGCACAACAATTTAAACTGCATATATAACCAATAATATAAAAATAAAAATACTATACAATACACTACAAAACTAGCAGATTTCAGAGCAAAGACTCGCTTATGTCATCAACTAAACCTTGCAACACCCACCATTCACAACTCCATTCAACAAAGAAAAACCACACAGTGTTTAACCGAGAATAAAAAAAAATATTGGTGGCGTACAAGGGGAGAAATTTTTAAATTTTGCTCATAATCTATTCTTTTCTCACTCTGACTTAAACTTGTGTATTTAGTACAAGAGCAACACTCACCCTTCATAAGCTGCTGAACAGTGGCAATCTCCTCCTGACACTTGCGCTGCTCTACAGCAATGTCATTCTCAGCAGTGCACTGAGCAATTGTTACAGCACTGTGAGCCTCCTCCAGATCTGCCTGCAGCTGTCTCACTTGAGCACGCAACAACTCTACTTCTGTCTCTACTGCATTGTTCTGTTCGCTCTGCACCCTCAACTCCTCTGCAAAATCAACATGAAAAATGTACAGTATGGTACTGTTTTAGCAAAGTGTAACACTGCCTTACAGAGTACAATACAGTACTGGTAACTCAAAACATTCCCCCCACAACCCAACCTGGCTTAATATGTTCACTGTTCCCTTGTGTCAATATTAGCATCATGTCATCTTTACCTCTACCAATGTTGGAACTAAATGTGTCAACTAATATATAAAACTTTTTAGTATTTTATGAACATGTTTTAAATTTAATGTTTCCTCAGTGTTAAGAGGAGTATGGAAGAGTATTTGTAGAGGTTGTGTGGGCTTCATTGCACACGTGTGATGTGACTTGTTCGGACAGGATTTACTCAAACAATTATGTTCATTTGAACTCTGGATGCAACAAGAATTACAATCAGTTGCACATCAATTGTACGGATAACTGGGAAATTTAAAAATCTGGTCACTACAGCCAATTTATAATAAATTTAATTTATTTTCACTTTATTTTGCAAAATCTCTTGACATTCAGTCTTAAAATACACTGCACATAAATATACAGCTCTTCCTTTCGAGTTATCACATGAAAATTATATACTAAATCGCCTGAACATAATCTAACCAAGGACCCACAAACAGAATACGGAACAGCCTGTAGCGAGTAGATTATCCCAATAATATACTCTCGCTCCAAATGCATTAGCCTAATGAGAGAAGCAAAGCTCTTCTTAGTACTAATTATGGAACTCAAACCTTTCCCAACTTCTACATAATATTTCTGTCAACCTTTGGAGAACGGTGAGGTGTTGCCCGAGCATACAAGCAGCAGAGTCGCAAGTAATAACTAGTCTACTTTCAAGTGTGGTCTAGAACAGACACTTGTGAGATACTGTAACAACGTTCAGTGCGCTCAACTCACACCATTGCTCACCAAAGTATCACCTGCGTACTTCTGTATACTCGACCAAATATATATATTCTCTTAGTGTTTGTGTTTATTGTCACCATACTTTATGTAACAACAGAACCATTACAAGCCCATCAATTTTACAAGCCACCATGATTTCTAGTGCATCATAGTTTGATATTGGGAATTTTTACATAAAAATATGTTATTCTAAAGAACAGGCAAAAATATGCTCTCAAACTACAGTACCAGAATCATGCTGTGGCTCAAAGTGAAAATTAAAACCCTCTTAACACTGGAAATTCTTTTGCAACAGTACATGGAAAAAATTAATCACCGAATGTCTAAAAACTAGAAAGATTTAAAAATAAAGTACAGTATTGTATTTATGCAGTTCCAGCTACAGTATATACAAAAACTAAACTGAAAAATCTTGAAACTGCTTTGTCCAAACTACTCTAAGAGTATCAACAAGCAAGTAATACACGTTAAAAATTACTACAGTATTTATCATGGCTACACCAATTTATAAATGCATCAAGCAAAACATCCAAACCAATCTCAACTTTGCATCTACATTGGATGACATGCACACTAGACTTAGTTGTTGGACACTCACGAGCTAAATTAAGAGTATTACTTTAGGGACCTCATCCACATTATTAAGATATCGGAAAAATTTAATATACGTGGGGCTATTCTAGAAAAACCATTTCCGGAAGAAACCAGGCATGCTAGATAAGTATAACCCTCAGCCCCACACTCCCACTCTCCTAAAATTACTTGCCTTCCTTCTGGAGGTAGAGTTCCTTTAGCTTGGCCCGGCGATAACCAAAGTCCTCCTCAAGACGTGCGTGCTTCTCTACAAGTTTACGCTCCCTTTCTTCCAATTCCTTTACTCTAGATTGCAACTCTGAAGCATAGGATGTCATTAGAGCCTGTTTAAATATGTTCACTGTATATTTAAACATATTAAAGGAGAGGAAAAATGATTTTGAATAGGATGAGAAAATTATAGCCCATTGATAAGCTATGGTATGATAAGCAGTATGATGATCCAGTACAAAACAGACCTTGTATGAATAATGAATAATTAAGTGCCTCTAGATTGTCTAAATTAAATACATTGCAAATATTATGTCTTATCATATGAACATGATGACAAGAAGGAAATGATTCAAATCATTAGAATAGCAAAATTCTGGACGAGGACTATAGCGAGCAGCAGTACGAGCCAAGAAAGCAGAAAGGTGCCGTCTTCTGAAAGATATAACAAAACTACTCGTGTAGCTGTACTGTACATGTACAGTTCAAGCAAAAGATCTCTTAGGAGGCATGGCTCAGCCTGCTATGATGCACAAGTAGAAACTGCTATGCAAGTGCAGACCTTTAAATATTATTCTAGAAACAGATTCTCCAAACCTGAAAGAGATCTATATTAGTGTACATTTTTACTTGGCACTTTAATTTTATTCCTAGTACTTCCTTAGATAAATTATATTAAGACTGATGAAGTAAATAAAACTTGTAATGAATTTACTAACATGTACTGGTGTTAACATTTTGTCATGGTGGTATAGTATTTAGGCCTTAGGCAAGGTACTGGACCTAATTGGATTATTCAGCTTCAATTTTTTTTTCCAAAACACAACCTATTAATCTTTTCATATCTAGTCTCCATTAACTGCTACAAGAACATGCAGAAAATAGAATGAAGGAATGATTCCAAACTGTTCCACCTTGCCTACATGTATTACCTTCAATTATTGTTCTGGAATAACTGGAAAGTCTTAGCATAACATACCTCACTAATTCTCTTATCTATATATTTCTTGCAAGCTGTCACATGAAATAAGAGTACAGGTACACGAGGGAAAAAAAGACAAGATTAGTTGTAGGAAAAAAAATGAAAGTCTTCAGTGGGTAGGGTGTTTCTCCAAGGGAAATTGCTAAACCAATGCAGTCATCCGAACTGGTAGATAACGTGAAACTAACGATTTTATCCGACTTACTTTAAGAAGTATAAATGTGTCATATACTGGCTTAGCACTTTCTCCTAATAATTACCTTACCTAAGTAATGTTCAGTTTAGATCAGAAATGATCAATTGGTACAACCTTAAAAGAATCAACTTAAGACAGCTTAAGTTGATGCTTAACTTGACATATTAAGCGATGCTCACAACAATGCTATGCCAAGTTGAAATAAAATTTTTGCACACACACCTATACTGACAAATTAACTTGAGGTATATAAACAAAGATATACATTTGTCAATGTATACTAAACACAGTTTTAATCCCTAACTTTGTTCTAGATTTAAACAAGCAGTGTTTGTAGGTTAGAAACTAACAATGAGAGAGCAGCCTCTATAATCCTGATGGACAATAATAAACCATAAAATACAATTCAGGAAACGCTAAACTCTCACATTAAAGAAAACGTGACTAGCCATCCTGAACTTGGCTGAGGTTCAGAAAAAGGTGTTATCACTTTTGCTGCAGTAATGTGTGGATTTAGTGTTAATTTCTCATATTGCTTCATGGCAATCATCTGCCGACATAATGGGGCATTGTACAATGTTCGCCGATACAAAGGTAGTGTGTTCCACCGAGTAATAATTTTTACTGTTGAGTATGAGCAGCTTGACTACTATAGTTAACACTAGGGTCCTCCAAGCCCCCCCAAAATAATATAATTTTCCCAGGTACAGAATATAGAGCATTCAGAAATTTTTGAATGATAAATTAAAAAAAAACTATAAATGAAATGAAATAAAATGGAAAAAGATTTGCAATTCCTCTATAGTTCTACGATGTTTAAAATCCTGTTTGTTCTAAATATATAGCATTCCAGACAAACCACGAAAAAAAAAAAAAAATTAGTTTTACGAATGAGATATTATTGTAAATAATGTATTAGAATATTGTTGAAAGGCCCTAATAGCCTATAAGCTATTGCTGTAAAATCTCTATCAACTTGACTTCAGCTATCCTACCCAAAATGCTCGTCCCTTCCAAGTGCTATAGTCGTAATAGCTTAGCACTTTCTCCCGATTATTACCACACCTTCAGCTAAACTGCATTTTACTGTTAATGTCCACGTCTCTGTGTTGTGCATGCCTCTTAATGCCCTGCGTACCTCCTAGTGCTGGTGCTCCTGGTTACTGGAGTTATTATTAACTACACTGATATTGTCTCATCTTGATCAATTGCAGGAACCATGCAACTTGGACAGGACAATACTCCAAGTCCAGCAATACTATCAAAAGTGCAAATACTGTACAGTATACACCAGGCCAGCACACGAGGCCACACGACAAAGCATTTAGAGAAATAAAGAGATATATATCAGACTTTGCAGGATGTTAATATGCTTCAAGTTAGGTCAAGATATCCACCCCCCACGAGCGTAGGCCTATAGTGTGAGCCTACACACAAGCACACCCGCAACTGTCCCCACCCAAGTCTCGCCCCTACAAAGCCAGCACCACCCACTACCGCCCACCAGTGTGCAAGTGTGACACAAGGAAGGCCAGACTATCCAAGAGTCCTACCAGGGTGCCCCAGGTGCTGCCAGACGAGCGGCGGAAGTGCTTCAGCCTCGGGCGTCTGGCTTGAGGACGAGCACTCACCCTCCACACCTTCCTCTGAGGCCCCACACGCCTCCATCTTGCCGGTGACCTCCGTAATTCCTTCCAAATCACCAACGAGCTGACATTTTGGTCCGGAGTGGCATCCTCCTCACTCCGAAATCAGCTGCTCGTGTCCCAACTGTGCGGGACGTTGCTGCAAGGAGCCCTTGTGCGCCCAGTGGGCGAATCGCAATGCGGCTTGTTCTCAAGAGGCGAGCTGATTGGCTGTGGAATCACAAGGGATTTCTTGTAGGGGTTTTTGAAGTGTATTGATTAGATGGGTCATTTCATGTTGTTTACATCTCAGGTCAAAGGTTAATTGCTGCTTGTTAACAAGGGATTGTTGACCACACGACATTCAAACATTTTATATACAACACAAGCGGTTGTAACATTCAATTTCATAACAATAATTAAAGTATCACTAGAAAAAGTCCTATATATATGAATATATAAATATATATGTCATATATATATATATATATATATATATATATATATATATATATATATATGAATATATAAATATATATGTCATATATATATATATATATATATATATGTGTGTATATCACGAAAATAAACACGTGATTAAGAATGTGACAATGTCGGACCACGGAGGAAAATGAAACAGGAATTTCCTTAAGTACTTTCGTATATTAAATACATCTTCAGAAGGAATGATTTTACAGATCGAGTGATGGGTATAAATAGGCAGGAGAGAGTGGTGAAGTAAGGTGAGGTACAATACAATACAATACAATTTTATTTAGGTAAGGTACATACATACAATAAATATTTACAAGGATTGTTTGACTTATAGGTATAGCTAGTACATACAATGCCTAAAGCCACTATTACGCAAAGCGTTTCGGGCGTTGTCCAAGGTACAATACTTGGACAACGTAGACGGCCCATTGGCCCATCAGATGCACCCAATTGGCCCATCCGATGTAGCCCAATGGCCCATCTGATACAGCAGACATACAAGCATAATACATAGGTAATTATAACATAAAGAGGTAAATATATACAATGAATTAGTGAGACAAATGTTTTTCAATGATCCTACTTAAATCGCCCTTTAGCTGATCTATTAGAAATGGATCTAAGTTATATAGACCACTGCTAATATTCAAATTACTTTCTTTGGTGATCTGTATCAAAGCAGATTCAATTATGTTTCTGTTATAGGTGCTTTTACAATTTGTTATTGAAGAAGCACTCTCCCAATCAATTTGGTGAGCTTTTTCTGACAAATGCACAAACAAAGCATTAGACAATTGGCCATGTCTAATGGTGCTTAGACAGTGGTGCTTAGACAGTGAACGCCATCTATGGAGTGAAGAGGTGGACGTTTGTGTCTAAGCTGGTAAGGGATGCTTCCTGGTGACCCCAGGTAGTGCCCCCAGTATACTAATGACGTGTCTGCTTGCAGAGTCGACCTGGGACTGCTGTGTTGGACGATGGGGCAGTCTACCCAAGGCAGCCAAGGTCTCTTCACCAGTCTGCTGAAGAAGCTGTGAGCCACCCCCGGACGGACTCTGTTGAGAGTGTAATAGCCTGCCTGAGGCGTGGCAGTGTCGGGAATCGCCTTATCCGGGGCTGGCTGGTGGAAGAGACTAACCACTGTGGTGCTGTATGAGGAGAGTGACCAGCGAGTCACACGAGGCTCCTGGCTAGGGCACGTAACCCTAAGTATCAGTCGTGGAGTGGCCTACACAGCGAAGCTGATCGGTACCTGCCAGCTATACAGGCTGGATTGTGGTTGAAGGCCTCCACGACGAAGCACCCAGTGGGACTGTGATTTGGCTGGCCTGTGGCTAGGGTAGATTCGTCATAGTCATAGTGGATTCATCGTGGGCCACGGAAGAAGGAACCAGGGCTACCCAGATTGAGCATCCAGTGTCTTTGGAGGAAGACGCAACTGTACATAAGTGTCAGAACTGTACAGTTCTGTTGAACTGACGAAATGAGCAACTGAGATACCCACACACGTGCAGTTTTAACTGAACGGTTATAACTGTCAGTTAAAACTGCACGTGTGTGGCCGGCCTTAGGTTCCCAGTGTGGAGGCCGGGTGATCTGCTGAGAGGAGTCACTGCTTGGTAGGGCTAGTAAAGTCGTCGTCTGCATCTGGCTTATAGAAGGAAGGCTCGGGAACTGGTCAGGGGCACCGCTCCAGTGCCAGGTAAGTCCACTACGGGCTCACCATAGCCCGTGCTATTTGCCCCGCTCCTGTGCCAGGTGAGTTACGGGCTCACCATAGCCCGTGCTACTTGGAACTTGTTCCGAGTAGCTGAATCTATAACAACAACAACAACTGGTCAGGTCCAAGGTCTAAGGTCGCGGCGACTTGCCTCTGGGTGGTCGGCGGCGTGGTGGTCTACTCTTTAATTTTCTTTCAGTTCCTCCCTCCTTTTTGTGCAGAGGTAGGAGGCAAGGAACAGCACCTCCTACCTTGTGCTGTTCTCCAGAGTTCGCGCATTTCTTGGTGGTGGCTGTACAGTCTTTGTAGTTGTGAGTGCCGGAGCATGAGCTGCACTTAGCCGTTTGTTCTGGGCACTTGTTGGAGAAGTGTTCATAGCTGAAGCACTTGTAGCACTGTCTCACGTTATAGACCTTCTCCATGGCGATCTGGTTTGGGGAGGAGGCAATTCCAAAGCACTTGTACCGGTTCTTCACTGCTAGGCCTGTTCTGCTGTTTCGAAGGTTATCTTCATCGTGGGTAAGTGGCGTCGTTAGTCTTGAGTAGAGCTGTTGTTACTTTCAGAGTAGGGTTGTCTTCGTTCACTTGCCGCACTATGGTGTCGGGTACCTCACCCGCTAACCAATGGTTCAACCTGTACACAAATATCAACAATACAATACAATACAATTTTATTTAGGTAAGGTACATACATACAATAAATTTTTACAAGGATTGGTAGACTTATAGGTAGAGCTAGTACATACAATGCCTAAAGCCACTATTACGCAAAGCGTTTCGGGCATACACTTCGGGAATATCGTTTTCCCGGCAGTGATTTGTCTGGGAGGAATTGGTGTGAAGTTCAGTAGTGGGACCCGGCGTTCCGGATCCAGGAGGTTCTGTAGGTCCGCTTTTGTTGCCACGATTTCCATGACCTCGTTACCATGCATATGGACGTCAACTGGTCCCACTGATGTTGCCTTGTCAGTAACTGCTGCAATTTCGCGCTCAGAGCTCCGGGGAGTCGCACTTTCCTTTTGTATGTTATGTTCTCTGGCAATGGCTCGGATTGTCAGGAAAATCTGGAGTGTAGGATGGTTTGCCGGCAGCTGTGTGGGAACACAGCTTGCCAGCAAGAAAGGTGCTCCTAAGGTAATGCGCCTTGTCTTGTGTAGAGTGGAGAGAGAGAGGAGAGGTGTAGGTCCGTTTGCGGTGACTGCTCGTGTTGCAATGATGTTTTTTGCGGCGTAGCAGCAAGTGGCGATCGTGATCTATCACGGGCGTGGACGTCGCAGCAGCAAGCGGCGTTCGTGATCTATCACGGATGTGGATGTCGTAGCAGCAAGCGGCATTCGTGATCTATCAACCCGTGCAACATCACGGGTGTGGACGTCGCAGCAAGTAAGCGGCGTCGTTCGTGACGGTGGAGGGGTACAGCAGGCGGCGTGGGTGGTGAGGGTGGCAGGGTGCAGCAGCAGGCGGCGTGGCTGGTGAGGGTGGCGGGGTGCAGCAGCAGGCGGCGTGGCTGGTGAGGGTGGCGGGGTGCAGCAGGGGTGCAGCAGCAGGAGGAGGCCTGGGAGGGGAGGGGGCGCCGTTCGTGTGAGCGCGGGGTGAAGACGGATGCCGTGCAGGGTGCGTCAGTCAGCTGAGCGGTGCGGGCGAGGCAGCAGAGAGCAGCGCCGTCCACCTGTCCGTCACCAGTACCCACCACGGGTCCCTCCTCGCCACCCTCCGCCACCGTTATCACCGGGTGTGGCGTCACGCCCGCACCCATACCCCGCGCCCACCGCCGCCCACACCACCCCCACACACACACACACACCAGCAGGAGCTGTGTCTGAGGCCCCAGCAAGGAACAGTGCAGCAGCCAGCACTCGCTCCCCCGCCACCATGAGTGTAGGTTGGCTCTCCCTCTTATTATTCTTACCTCACCCACCTCTACCTCTCTCTCTCTCTCTCTTTACCCTCTCACTTTCTGCTTTCTCCCTTTTTCCCTCCAATTTTTGTATTACTTCCTCAGTAGTGCATTTTTCTCTTATAAGATAAATGATCTCATTTGCATGTTTCGTAATTCGAGATATTTTCCGAGTGATTTGTATTTAGGGTGATGTAGTGACCTGCCAGAGAGTTGGAGATGTTCAGGTTAATTATGTGAACACGAGGGTCTTGTGGACCAGCAAGTCTTCATCTCTTCTCAGGAATGTGATGATTGAAGTCTGCATGCTGGAGTCTTGCCTTTCTTATTTTGTTTTAGTTTTTTGGGTCAGTGTGGAGACGATTTGTTTGTAGATCACTAGTTTTTTTATTTGAAAAGATTGGGAGGGTACCCAACAATAATAAATAGTTTAAGCCATGATAAGCTATTGTATTTGATAACAAAATGATAAGCAGACTGTATGATAAGCAGTGCCCGTGTCGCAGTGGTAAAGCACTTACCCGGTGCTTCTCGAGCACTTTGGCCAGGGTTCGTATCATGGCCAGCGAGGATTGACTGGGTGCTAATCCTTAACTGTAGCCTCTGTTCACCCAGGAGTGAATGGATAAGAACATAAAAATGATGGTAATGCAGAAGGCCTATTGGCTAACGAGGCAGCTCCTATTTATATCCACTCAATCTCGTAGGTTTGATATATATATATATCTCAAACCTACGCTTGAAACAATCGAGGGATCCTACATCTATTATTGCCCGAAATGCTATGGGTACTAGTGGCTTTAGGTATTGTCTGTACTAGCTCTTTCTATAAATCCAACATTATGTTTGTAACTAATCCTCTATGTATGTACTTTTACCTGAATAAACATTTGATTTGATTGTTATGTGGTAATTGGTTCCACAAATCAAACCAGTATTTACCCAGGTCTTTCCTAAATCTAAACTTATCCAATATCCAATAAAATTTAGGATTAATGGAAAGGATAGGTCAGGTAACTGATTAGTAACAAAGAGATGGAGTATTTTTAATAAATATTTTATCACTGTACAGTATTTACTAAAGAGGAACTTAACATTGCCTTCAGCTGAACAAATCTATGTGGGTAGGGAATAGGACAGGTTAACTAGTTTAGCAGTTACCAGGGAGGATGTTATTAAACAAATAGTAAAACTCAAGCCAAACAAATCCCCAGGACTGGACGAACTGTTTATCAGTGCTTAAAAAATGCAAAAAGGAGCTTTGTGAGCCATTGTCTACCATACTTAATAAATCATTAGTCAGGCAGAGTGCCAGAGTCATGGAAGGTTGCTAATGTGGTTCCAATTTTCAAGAAAGGAGATAGATCACGTGCGTCAAACTATCGGGCAATTAACTTAATGACTATTGTGGGAAAGTTACTTAATCGATAATTGCAAATACCATTCGTCTTCATCTTGAAAAACATAAATTAATAAATGATTCGCAACATGGTTTTACTAATGGCTGTTCATGTTTAACAAATTTGCTGTCATTTTATTCCAGCATAGTTGAGGCAGTTAATTGTGGTAAGGTTTGTGATGTGTACCTTGACTTTAGCAAAGCTTTTGATACAGTGCCACAGGAAAGGCTGATTAAAAAGATTGAGGCTAACGGTATTGGGGTGCTATATTAAGTTGGATTAGGGAATACCAAAGGAAACAGAGTTAGTATAAATGGGGTTAAGTCAGTAGGAAAATGTTGTAAGTGGAGTGCCTCAAGGCTCTGTCCTGGGATCTCTGTTATTCATAATACATATAAATGATTTAGATCCAGGTTTGAGCAGCAACATTTACAAATTTGCCGATGATACAAAAATTGGGAGGGAAATAAACACTGAAAAATAAAGACTCGCTATCACGTCAAAACGATCTAAATAGGGTTTTGCAATGGTCAAAAGATTGGCAGAGGCAGTTTATCGCTGACAAAATTAAGGTTTTGAGTCAAGGTAATGATGATAGTTACAAGATATGAGCTACATAGTGTTGAGATTGTGAAGTCAGATTGCAAAAGGGATCTGGGAGTTATGATTAGTAAGAATTTAAAACCAAAAAATCAATGCATAAATGTTCGTAATAAGGCAAATAGGACACTGGGATTTATTTATCAGTGTTAGTATTGACACACCTGGTATTCTTTAGCTATATCTTGCTCTGGTTAGGCCCCATTTAGATTACAGTATGCAGTTCAGTTATGGTCGCCGTACTATAGAATGGATATAACGCGTCCAGTACAGGATGATAAAGTTAATCGCCCAAATTAGAAACCTGCCATGAAGAAAGATTGACGAAGCTTAAATTACATCCTCTAGAAAGGCGAAGAATTAGGGGTGACATAAGAGGTGTACAAGTGGATGAATGGACAAAAGGGAAAGGTATACTGTACAACATAAATGGAACTTAATATAGCACCCCAATACTGTGAGCCTCTATCTTTTTAATCAATCTTTCATGTGGCATTGTATCAAAGGCTTTGTAAAAGGTTGTTAAATGATTTGGCAGGTCGTATTCCAGGGAAAATTAGGATTAAGGACCTGCTCGAATCACTATGCTTGCTAGTGACTACAAGAATGTAAGAACTCTTGAATATATATACAAGGGTATAAATAAATAATTAAATAAATAATTAAATACATACATAAACAAATATTTCTCTACCTCTTGGTGTGGGCCATAGACCTATCATAGATTGCATAGCACTTTTTCAGATGTGATGAATTGTCTGAATACTGATGCCAATACAGTACTTTAGGAATGTAGATAGTTCATTGTATACAGGCTGATGGGAAGGTGCACTCATGGGGGCCCATGAGGTGTATTTAGACAGCTACGGGATAAAAAAGTATCGCTGTTCTGCCAGCACAATTTGTCACAAATATCAAACAAATGGTGTAGTACTCCATAGACCTCAATCCAACTTTAATAATTTTTTAGGTAAGGCTCATTTAGGCAATTCTAATTTCTCGTGAAATAAAAATGAGTGCTGATTTCTAAGGATGTGTAGGAGTTAGGTTTAGGAGTGGTACTTATTCTCTATTGCCATTGAATTCCAAGTCGTCCTGTTTCTTTCATTAGAAACCTGGGCAGGCAACGATGTAACATTGGGTTCATATTGATAATGATCTTGCATTGATTGAACGGAACTTGAGCATAGTTTACCTGCTGGGAGCAATGTCAGTGCCATTACCGGCCCTCTACTAGCAGCAGAACCAGCCAGCTCGGCTCCCTTCCCTTATCACTGTGCTTGTTTCAGCCTGACTACCACTAGACATCTTTTTACAAAGGAGTAATGATTTATCAAAATAAAAAGTGATGGTCTATAATTTGTTCTACCAGTAAGGACTAGTTTATTTTGCAGGCGATGAGTCACAATAACATGGCTGAAGAATGTTGACCAGACCACACACTAGAAGTTGAAGGGACAACGACGTTTTGGTCCGTCCTGAACCATTCTCAAGTCGATTCTCACAATCGACTTGAGAATGGTCCAGGACGGACCGAAACGTCGTCGTCCCTTCACCTTCTAGTGTGTGGTCTGGTCAACAGCTTATTTTGTTCCCCCCTTACTCATCCTGTGAGTAGAGTATTAGTTTAAAACGATTAAAGAGGCCACAAGTCATAGACCACATTGGTTGTTGTTCAATACTGGTTATTACAATTTACCTGGTGCATACCAGGTAAATGTATGCGCACCTTACATTTTGTATGTACACACATCATATTTTATAATGATTGCTGGTAACAACACTACTTGTGCTGTAGCTGCTATGCATGGCAGAGATGTTTCCAGCTACGATAAGGCAATATGGCATCGAAAAAGAAAACGTGCATAGAAAATAGTAATAATTATTGTGCTCTAAATAAAACTTTACCCCCAATATTGCATGATTTTTCTTGTATACTAAAGTCAGGAGAATTGAAAGTTTCATGAAGTGAGAGTACAGTACTATACTGTACATTAGGTTTGAATTGGAGCGCTTCAACGTGAGAGCTTGGTGAGGACAATACCATGTTCCAGCTTGCCAAGTGTTAGTTTACAAGTGAATTCTTTCCAGCATTACTTTAATTTGCCTGAGCAAGGTTACAGTGTACATTGATTCCATTTAAAGTTGCCATGAAGCAATACTACTCCACACATCCCTTGGTCTGCAAAGCCCACAAATGGATTTTTATCCTGGCCACCAAGTACAGTACAGTACTGTACTGTATAAGTGTACTCCATATTTATTCTGGCTCCCTGGATATGAAGACACCAATGAGGAGGCAAAGAAGGCCTTTAAACCTCTCTTCAGTTTTAACTACTTAGGTCCTGTTTAAAGATCAAGAGAGAAATATCAAGGAATTTGCAAGATATTAATGGCCTCTTGGGACGTAATTACCTGAGGGCCACTAACATTCTAGGGGCCTCGGTGAGAACAGGATGTCCTCCAAATCCTATAAGCCCTCCAAGTACTGTCAAAGGTCCCCTCATTTGCCCTGATCTCTTCCAGTTGGGTTTACAAATTTAAAAGTTTTGGCATTATGGCTTTGGCGGGTAGGCAGTTTACGGGTTTATAACCCTTTGGGTGTAAAGGCATCTTCGTACAAATGACAAACTGAAATGTAAAACCAACCATTGCACTATGGCCCTTCACACTACCTGTGTGCCACTGGTGAAGTGCCAATAAGATTCGAAGACTAGGGTGGGTTACATATTATTTTGTTTATTTATACAAGAGTTTGCACGCTAGGGACTTTACAAGAATGTATGTATAGTGTTTCGGGCAGGTCCTTTATCCTCATTTTCCCCTGGAATACGACCCGCCAAATCGTTTAACAACCAGGTACCCATTCATTGCTGGGTGAACAGAGATTACAGTTAAGGATTGGCACCCGGTCAATCCTTCCTGGCCAGGATACGAACCCAAGCCAAAGCGTTCACGAAGCGCCGGGTGACTGTTTTACCACTACACTACGGGGACGCACTGTAGTTCTAGTGCATGAAGCAGAAATGTCACCGTGAGAATTGTTGCGAGTTCTCTCAAGCATATCTTGGTTGATTGCTTGGGGTATGCTCCAGTAAAGAAAACCAGTAGGATCCAAAACTAATGCCTGCATTAAAATTTGTCATAGTGACGTTATCTTGAGATCTTGAGGTAATCTTGAGATGATTTCGGGGCTTTAGTGTCCCCGTGGCCCGGTCCTCGACCAGGCCTCCACCCCCAGGAAGCAGCCCGTGACAGCTGACTAACACCCAGGTACCTATTTTACTGCTAGGTAACGGGCATAGAGTGAAAGAAACTCTGCCCATTGTTTCTCGCTGGTGCCCGGGATCGAACCCGGGACCACAGGATCACAAGTCCAGCGTGCTGTGTGCTCGGCCGACCGGCTCCCTTCACGTTACACATACTTCGTGCACAAAACTGTATGTACTCGTCTAGTTGTGCTTGCAGGGGTTGAGCTTCGGCTCTTTGGTCTTGCTTTTCGATGTCAATCAACTGGTGTACCAGTTCCTGAACCCTGTATAAAACATTTTATCTCTTAGGATAGGATAGCTTGGGTTGGGTTAGGTTTGTTTAAAGAGCAGCAATAACAGAAGAAAGAGTTTCTCAATATTTCTCTCCATCTCCTTTCTGGTTGAAAAAAGACATCGTGTATCTATTCCCATACCCATGGAAGCTTCTCATCAAAATGCACTAAGATAAGGTATGGACACAGCTGGAAAGACAGTGGAAAACATTAGCCTAAATGAGTTAGACATGTTTATCATGTTGAATGTTGCACAACATTCGCCTAAAAGAAGAATACCTTTACCATCCAGTTCTTCCTCAAAAAAGCCGCACAATTTCAAACGATGAAGTCATGAACTTTTGATGAAAGAGATGAGTTGACCTCAAAGATGAGTTCTAAGACTCAAAACCAAAATAGCACAGGATATTGACCTAGTTAGCAACTTGTGACGATGTCGACACCGTCTGTTGAGCGCACCCGACCCCATTTTCTGTTCCCCAGTGGAAGGCTGTGATCTTATTGACACCTGTGTAGTTTCCTTCTTACTAATCACATTTTACTTCTCAGAAGTGATGTGGGTGGTATCTTGGTCTACAGGAATCAGTTCACCCAGGGCAGTCCTGAACTAAAGATGTGTTCCAGTGGGTACAAGTTGCCGAGTCGGTGCAGATTGTGATTTGTCTGTGATACTTAATGAAGTATTGGTGATTGGACCGACGTACCCCGGGATGGCCAAGTTGAGTTACGAGATAGAATCAATGTCCGTCTGTTAAGGCTTGTTATAAGCACAGGAATTGCCAGCCTGTTGCTGGAACCTCCACCGGTGTGTTGCTGGAGAGTAGAAGTGGTGTTCTGGCGCCATGACAATACTGTATAGGACTGGCTCATGATTTACCGAGAAGGGTGAACTTGCCGGCATGAGCACCATAGAAGACAGACTCAGGGAGGGAACCTTGAGTGGTGTACGATAAAAGATAAAAGTGGACTTGCCGGGAAAGAAGATTGCAGAATTTCTTTTAGTGTCATGTGCGAAAGTGACACCTGCAGTGTTGTCATGTACATATCTGTATATATAGTTAAGTACACTTGGTGATGGTTCTGTTTAGTGTTGTTTACCCCCTTTCCTTTGGATTGATTATTACTGCCAGTTCTTAATAACTTACCTTTGACTTGGGGTGGGATTGAGTAAGAAGAGGCACTAAGGCCCCGTTGGTTAGTAAAGAATCCGGTTACTGGCTAAGTGAGACTGTAACGTACTTTTCTGTTCCTAATATGTTGATGTGTTTCTTCAGGTGATGGCACCACTAATCACTACTGCATATTTAAACTTAGGTCAGATAAATGTTACAAATAAACCAGTCACACATTTGTCCAGCCATGTAAGTGATGCTAACCTTGCATAGGAGCTAGATGTACCTGATCTATGTTTCATGACTGACTGGGATGTGGTACAAGGTAAATGGTCAAAAACCGAAGGAAAAAAACAGCCTATAACTGGTAAATACCATTACAATATCCTGCATATTGCCCAGGTATTTTATCATATTGCATAAGACAGTTAATTTTGGCTGATGAACTATTAAAAACTATAACAAAAGTGTTATTAATTTTATGGCTATTTCATCTATATTATGTTAACTGATTATTGTGAAAAACTAGCTCCTAGTCAATTTGTCAAGTTCCACTGGTCCAATGGCGATGAATAATAAATTTGGCACTTAACTTTTATTTGTATGGAGACTTGCTCTATACAGTAGTAACTTCTCAAGAAAATATATCGGATGTTCATAGTATCTTCAGTATCTTATTCCCTTAACTTGTTTATCTTGTCTGATCTATAGCTACTTTTCCCCAGTTCTGTTACATAACACTTCACTGCATTGAATTTCATTAACCATTTTATCTGCAGCTAAACCTCTTAACCTAGGTCTTCTTGCAATGCTTTATATATCCATTTGTCTTTGCCTGGACAAACTTGCCAGGTGTAGTTGAATGTTTCATTTGGGCAAGCTGTTTACTGTGTGTACTAGACTCTTGTAATGTAAGTACTTCTGGATTAACTGATAAACTTTGCATACTTTACTTTAAAGCTTTTCCCTTAATCAGAATTCTCCTATTACTGTTGCTTTCATTGATCTCTGAAAAATTCTTTTGTGACCACCTTAGTTATACTATTTACCTACTGTAATTTTCCAAATTAGTGTGTGGCATTTGGTCAAATACATAATGTGAATGTGCTTTACATCTGTTTCTTAATTTATGGCAAAAGCTGTCATCACACAAGAGTAGATTAAACTTCAAGCATGTAGATATGATGCAGGTGTGAGCATTGATGCCCTTGCACCTGTGAATGTGGTGACCTACTTTAACATAGGCATTGATGGAAATATTTCTTGCAGGGTTATCAAGGCTACGGTCAGCCCCAGGGAGGTTACCCAGGCCAGGCTCCGCCGTCAGGCTACCCTGGTCAGGCTCAAGGGGTGAGACACGAACATTCTACTGTAGTAGTTTGAAGTGCATATAGTATAGCTGTTGCTTTTATGGATGTCACAGCATGATTTAGTGGGTGTGTAGTGGGAGTATTGAAGCCTTTAGTAATGCCAGCAGTTTGACTGATGTAAACATTTCACTCGGCAGCATGTGCAGACTTTGTGTTAAGGCTTCCCAATTGCCCTTATAGATTATGGTGGTCCATTGCACGAGCTAGAAAGTATTACACTTGTCTTGCATCTAAACACCTGAGTTTTGTGTTGCCTTGTCAAGATTTTGTGCAACACAAAATTAATTTGCTATTTAGTGTTAAATCGTAAATATAATTGCTAGTGATACACCTATTTGATAACCATTATATGTAATGTAGTCAATAGTTTTGTGTGTGCCTACATAATGTATTTTAAACTGAAAATTCTTTTTTCAATAATTGGTATGGGGAAACACTATTCAGAATGGATATTTATGTTTGGAGCATCACTTGATTCTTCACAGGGTGAGGACGTAATATAGGGAAAGAAGGGTATGTGTGTGTGTGTGTGTGTGTATAATAAATATAGCTAAAACATTAGATGACACCCTTTCATTCACCATGTCACGTACACCACACTGTACTGTACATCATAGAAAACCAGCACCACTACACTAGTAAATCATTAGTAGGATTTCCCCCCCCCCCCACTGCTGCACGAGATTAGTTGTTTATTGGTTCTCACGAGTTGTCATGTGCAAGGATTTACAAATGCTGTCACAGCCCTCTTCTTCATCACTTTCATACATAATTTTTTCTTCCTTTCACTCGCTGTATCTTCACATCTCGTTTACATTCAACTTTCTTACCTTCAAATTCACTCAAATGCACACTCTTTGCCTTTGTGTCATTATCTGTGCATCATGACTAAATAATTTCTGCATATACTACTCAAAAATAAATTCCCCCCCCCCCTCCACACCTTTCCACACATTCATTGCTTACTTTACTACAAAAACATTTGCTTCTTAGGGTGTGCATCAGTGCTTCTGTGTGTGCATCATCCATACATTATGGTCAGCACTACTACTACTTCATGCAGCCTTTTGGTCACATTTCTTCCTATTTTGTCTTTCTAATCGTGCTTTCATTGTAAATACCACTTTCCTTCTGATACACAGTCTACTCCTACCTTCTTGTACAAATTTGTTGTTTAGTAAATAACATTGAAGTGAAAATATCGAGGCAGTGGAGTGACTTGGAACTCGTGACCTGGTGATTGCCAGCTGCCTGCCTTAATGGCTCGGCCAAGGTGGTATAAAAGGTACAAAAGACCAACCCAGAACTGCCGAGTCCTTTGGGAGGTTCTAGAGGCCCCAAAACCCGGGGCCCAACCGGGGTTTTCTAGCCAACCCGACCACACTCGGGCCTACGATAATGGCGTTCCCCATTCTTGAGCACCAGTCAGATTGTAATGAAATCACAATTGCATGATATATAAATTAAAATAATTTTGATGCAATGCGGTGACTTGAACTCGCGACCAGTTAGTCACCACATTGCCTCAGAATGATTGTCATTGATATATCATGTCATTGGGATTTCATTGCAAACATATGAGGTATTTAAATTGAACAACCACTTTGAGCACTTTGTTTTTGTTAAATTAAACAACCACTTTGTTTTTTCTCTTCTCCGTAACTTGATTAACTTTGTCATACGTTTTCTAGTTCATAAAGGCCACATTTTGCTACTAATTGCCTTGATGCAAATATGCGATCTACACATCCTCCTCCACCAGAGCCTCGCATGTTTATCACTGATCAGTTTCTTGGTTATTTCTTGTACTATTATTCTGACAATCACTTTGTTAACTATCTTTAGTAGTTTAGTTCTTATGATTCTTTCACACTTTGCTCTTTCTAAATGTCTGTGTAATGGTATATTTAGCTTTTCATTTCTTTGCCATGTACAATGCTGCTTTTCAGTGCCTCTGGCAAATTCTTTGTCCATTCTATAAATCTACATCCTTTAATCGTTGTTACATATACAGGACTTTGTTTACACCCGCTTTCCCTCGTTTCCCTTTACACTCTGTTCACCATTTGCCCTCCAGTGACCTGCCCTCTTCCATGGATGAATCTTCTGTATCCTAGCTTACACCTTCCCACAAGAAAATATTCCTTCGTCTTGCCCCCAATTCCAGTCTTTAGACTATTAAATTGTGTGTGTGTGTGTCCTTATTGTATTTAGATTTGCAGACTTTCTAATAACCTATATACATCATTCTTATTCTCCGCACCATTTCTAACTTGTAACTTTTAGTTCTGCTAAGTAATCTGTATCTTTATAGAGCATTTAATATACTGTAGTGAATAAATCAGTTTTTGTATAATGCTCCTAATTTTAATTGGTCAAGAATAAAGTGGATAATTAGTGATATACTCAATTATAGTAGTTTGTGGCCATCATTCAGTGCATGTTTTTGTCAAATTATTTCAATACTGTACTATGGATATTAAAGTAAATTTTCCTGGTTCAACAGGCACCTCCATCAGGGTACCCAAGCCAGCAGCAGTATGCTGCTTATCAGCAGCAGCAGCAGCAACAACAGCAACAGCAGCAGCAGCAGCAGCAGGCTGGATACCAGCAGGGCCAACAGCAGCCCCAGGGGGGTTATCCTGGTCAGCAGCCACAAGGAGGATACGCAGGACAGCAGTCCCAGGCAGGTATGAACCTCGTGTGCTAGATGTTCTGGCTCACCTTATATCACGGGTGTTTTGCATAACCTACTGTGTACAAGAATTATACCAGAATATTGGATGTCATGCCCTACTTGCACCTTAATGTATATACTGTAAATGATTTACATTACAGGATTTTTATGCCTTTTTAAATGAAGTCCTTTACTATAGGGCTGCATTCTGCGATTGTCATGGGAACAGTGTAAATCACATTACAGTAACTTGAAGTAAATGATAATTGTTCCTAAATATCTGTATCTATATTACAAAAAGTAAACGTGTACTTTTCTTTCTTAGGGAATCCTGGTGCCCCTCCAGGCATAGACCCAAACATTGTATCGTGGTTTCGTGCTGTGGATCAAGATAACTCGGGGCATATTAATGCCCCTGAGCTTCAGCAAGCCCTCCAGAATGGCAGTTGGTCACAGTTTTCTGAAGAGGCTTGTAAACTCATGATTTGTAAGTGTTTATTCTAGTTGACTTATTATGGGTTATGGAAATTTGGATTGTATTGATACAGTAGGCCCTTGCTGTGCACCTGGGATATTTGTGAAAATCCTCTTGCAGGTAAATTTACAGTGAAGTTCATTTTATATGGTGGAAACAAGATTGTTCTGATGTCATTATAGGTTGACATTCTGCATCTGTGCACAGGAGAACTTTTTGAAGTTTCTTGCTGGCTTATAAAGGTGCTTGGAAATACAGAAGAGGATGTGATCCTGCTTAGAATGGAGCCAGAAAGTGAACTCATGCAAAATCTAAAAGCCTTTTTAAGCAGAGTTTGTCAAGGGGGGATCTCGATGACCCTATTAGGCTATCTACTGACCTTTCCCAGGATGCATCCAACAACAGGTGCTTATCCTAGGTACAGTACAACCTCGATTTAACGCACTATATGGGACCAACCCCGGTGCGTTGGATTCGTTGTAAGATGTGACCTTCAAGAGGCATTTGCGTCGGTGTCTTTTTTTTTTTTTCTTGTAAACAATAAATATGCATTATCATATTATATACTGTACCTATATATTACTACTTTACTAAAAAAAATTCTGTGTTACAGTTGATATTTAAATTATTGTTGGAGTTATGTCCATCTTGAATTCTCATGGAGTTGTGAATGCTGTACAGTAAATACATACTGTAGTGTATTATGCCGTTAGCACAGTATTGTTAAGTAGTTCTGCTGTATGTTGAGTACTACAATACAGTTTATGAAAACTATTTTACACTAAAATTTCTGTACTGCAACCTTAATTTGAACACTAACACTATGTACTTAAATTTAACACTTATTCTAACTGTACATTCCACACACGATGTTCTTAGATGTTTGCATCAGCTTTGCTGGTGCTCGCTGCTGCTGCTGTGTTTGCTTCAGCTGCTTCTGAGATGGTGCTGGCTGCTGTTGTACCGGTGCTGGGTATGGCTGTGCTCGTGCTGGGTACGGCTGTGCTCGTGCTGGGTACGGCTGTGCTCGTGCTGGGTACGGCTGTGCTCGTGCTGGGTACGGCTGTGCTCGTGCTGGGTACGGCTGTGCTCTGTGCTCGTGCTGGGTACGGCTGTGCTCGTGCTGGGTACGGCTGTGCTCGTGCTGGGTACGGCTGTGCTGGGTACGGCTGTGCTCGTGCTGGGTACGGCTGTGCTGGGTAACGGCTGTGCTGTGCTCGCTGGGTACGGCTGCTGCTCGTGCTGGGTACTGTGCTCGTGCTGGGTACGGCTGTGCTCGTGCTGGGTACGGCTGTGCTCGTGCTGGGTACGGCTGTGCTCGTGCTGGGTACGGCTGTGCTCGTGCTGGGTACGGCTGTGCTCGTGCTGGGTACGGCTGTGCTCGTGCTGGGTACGGCTGTGCTCGTGCTGGGTACGGCTGTGCTCGTGCTGGGTACGGCTGTGCTCGTGCTGGGTACGGCTGTGCTCGTGCTGGGTATGGCTGTGCTCGTGCTGGGTACGGCTGTGCTCGTGCTGGTTGATTTTCTGCTACTAGTTCTTGCAAAATATTGCTTCATTTTTGGCATTAATAAGGCATTATTAGCAAGCCCCTGAGACATTTTGTTGTATAACAATACAGCTGTAGTAAAAAAAATGGTAAATTCCACGATTATTCTTCCACTGGCGGATAAATGTCAATCGCAGACAAAGCTAAGGGCACTGGGTGCCTACTGTACGAACGCAGACTAGGTCTATACACCCTACAGTAGGCTGGTGTTGGGTGTATAGTAATCCAGATCCAGTAACATATTTCTCGCAAATATTGGATTTACATCAAATTCTATATTTTTGGGTTATATATTTAGTTTAGCAACATTATTACGATAATAAGAGCTGTAAAAAATACTTATTTTGGATCTGATTTATTAATTTTATTTTGAAGCCGTAGGTCACTGAACTGTGGCGACGAAATCGAACAAAACGAGCATGGTAGCTGGCGAGAAACAATGGGTAGAGTTTCTTTCACCCCGATGCCCCTGTTACTTAGCAGTAAATAGATACCTGGGAGTTAGTCAGCTGTTACGGGCTGCTTCCTGGGGGTGGAGGCCTGGTCGAGGACCGGGCCGCGGGGACACTAAGCCCCGAAATCATCTCAAGATAACCTCAGGATGGTGGTGTGCACACGGATTAGACCCGTCTACTCGCGCTAGAGTTGTGCTGCCAATAACATGAATAATTTCTCAAATAGCAGATATCTATCATATCACAGTATATTTTTTGTTTAATTTAGTTTAATTAGGACAATAAAGCATTATTAAAACACCAGTTTTTTTAGAAATTATTTATTAATCTGAAACATTCAAAGTCATGGGTCACTGAACTATGATGACAGACGAAAGTGAGTGAAACCTCGCTGTAAAGGTGAGGTTTACTGTACAGTATTTCCTTATCTGTCCACCCTCACTCATCTTGTCACCCTCACTCACCTTATTTCATCACAGAAAATGTCTATAAGAAGATTTCAACACATTAGCTAGCTATTCACGCTTTAGCCTTTAAATGAATTTACAAAGATACGTGAGCCACAAATCAGTGAATGAAAATCATGGAAACTCAGTCGTTCACTTGTGTGGACCACTCTGGCTGGTGTTTGGTTCATATGCTTCACTTGTTGTGTGGACCATTCTGGCTGGTGTTTGGTTTATATGGTTCACTTGTGTGGCCCACTTGTGTGATCCAACTTGTCTTATGAAGGAATTATTATTTGTAATCTGTGATAGAATGAGAGTTTTCCACCACTCTGTGAACTCTGTCCCAACATCGTAAGCTTGTGGACCACTTGTGCGGTCCACTTGTGTGATCGAACTTGTCATATGAGCGAATTATTAACACTTTCGCGCACCCCGCGCGCCACCCCTCGACAGGGCGATATGGGCCCCAGCATGTCACGGAAGCGCGCGTCAATTCCGAAAAGTGTATACTCTCTTCAACTTTGTCACCTCAATTTTCGTTCTACGAGATTAAATTTGGTATCATTGTGTTCGCAATAAAATTCTGTACAGCACTAAATGCATATAAACTCCAAAAGCCCGGCTAATTACCCGCAGCAAGCAGAGAAAGTGCGAACGAGTTACCAGGGAGCGCGCAAACGCGATAAAATGTTTTCACTATTTTCACTCTGGTCACCTCAATTTTCGTCCTAGGTCTTTCATTTTGGTCTCAATGGGTTCGTAATAGAATTCTCTAGAGGAATATTAGCATATAAAATAAAAAACCTGGTCACGCTCCAACCGCCGACGAGTTGAAGACAGGCCACGCGTTAGCCAGGAGTGAGTGCTCAGACGCCTTCCCGCTACACTCCCAATTCCTGCCCACATATGTTTAGTATTATTTCCTGGTGGTAATCTCAATTTTCGTGTTACAGCGCTCATTTAGGTATGAAAATGTTCCTAATAGAATTCTTCAGATGGATATGTGCATATAAGGGCCAATTGAACAACATTGCCTGTACAATACGGGAAAGTATGAACAAAAAAAATAAATAAATAATACAAAAATTTGCACTTACCACCTCAGTGTTGTGTGTTGAACATGACATGGGTTGAACATTTGTTTTATCCACTCCACCTGCTCCTGGAAAACGTTTCCTGCAGGGTCAACCCATGTTTTGTATAGGTGGAGTGGATGGTGGGAGTTAGTCTCACATGCTTGTACTTCTCCTGTACACTACTCAGCTTCTGCTTTTCACGCCTTTCTTTCGCAATTTTCTTCCTGGAAGGGCCTTGTTCATGATCACTATCCATCGTGGAGTAAGAGTAGATAGTTTCTGAAGCCGCAGTAAGAAATATAGCCACGGAAAATAGCCGAAATGTTCACACGTTTGAGACGCGAGGGGAGGCGACACCGGTCACAACAGTGGAGCGAAAACAATGGGCCGACGGCGTGTGCCGCGCCGCCTGCGGGCCACTAGGCGCAACAAAGAAAATGGGAAGACATCGGCGCGCATTTTAAAACCAGTCCCAAAAAAATCGGATAAAAGCCTGATTTTTGGCCAATTTTTAAAGTGGATGACGCAATGCTGCGTCATCCCCGGCATTACCGCCAGTAAACGGATGACGCAATGCTGCGTCATCCCCGAGCGAAAGTGTTAATTGTAATCTGTAATAGAATGGGAAAGTTTTCCACCAGTCTGTGAACGCTCTCTCACCTTAAACAAATCCGAACATTCCCCGCTTCGGCGAACTATTGTTCGTCGAACCGGGTGAGTAAATCCGGCCGGAAAAGTGTGCGAACTTGCCGGAGATTTGTTGAATCGGGGTACGTTGAATCGAGGTTGTACTGTACTTACTTACTGCTAGGTAAACAGGCATAGAGTTAAACATATTCAAACATCTGTCCTACCATGGAAATTGAACCCAGAATTGTTTGATGTAGGTGTGACAATTAATATAGGACACTGGGCACCCAAAGCAAGAATTGTTGTTTTCACTTCTCTTAATGAAATGCCTGCCTTGAACATTATTAAATACTCCCACTTTTTTCAGCACAAATACAGTATGCTACATAATCACATGGACAATGCTTGTGAGGTATTATAATGTAAACCAAAACATGTATGAAACATGTGCAAAATGTTTGGGCGTTGTTAACTGAAGCATCATCTTGGTTGTGAAGATGTCATACACCAACTCTGGTGCAGATGACAATAACATGAATAATTTCTCAAATAGCAGATATCTATCATATCATAGTATATTTTTTGTTTAATTTAGTTTAGTTTAATTAGGACAATAAAACATTATTAAAACCCACCTTTGTGAAGTTTGAATTTTGTTATTTAACAAATTGGTAATACTGTATTATATACTGTGTGAAAAGCAAAAAATGAGGGTAGTAATAAATTGGGTTTTAGGATTCTAAAACCAAAAGATAGTACTTTATAGGCATGTTACCAGGAATTTACTTGGAAGTAAACTAAATTATCATTTGATATTTGAATCTTCAAGCAGTTTTTCAAGCTCAAAGTATTGTATGTGGATAGAAATTGTAAATTCTTTTCTTCTTCTTGATGTACTTTTAAGCAGAATATAAAGTCATTCATTACTCATGAGAACATAGAATAAAGAGAACTGCAGAAGGCCTATACCTGTAGGTCCATATGAAGAAGCTCTTAAATATACGAGTTTGGGTGGATATAAATGTCTTAACATACGCTTGAAACACTTCAATGATCTAATATATTACACAGTGGGTTGCTCCATAATTCTTCAATATTTTCAAACTAGCATTAACCCAGCTCTTTCCTGAATATAAATTGATTTAATTTATATTTATTTTTGTTAAAGCAATGTTTGATTCTGACCGGAGTGGAACCATCAACATCCATGAATTTGGACAGTTGTTTAACTTCATCAACCAGTGGACTGAGGTCTATCGTCGCTATGACAGAGACAACTCTGGAACTATTGATGAGAGTGAAATGTTTGCAGGTAAGTCAACACTGGAGTGCAGAGGGAGATGGAAGGGTATGCATGGAGTAGGGAAGGGTAAAGTGTGAGTGAGCGCGGGAGGATTTGAGAGCTGAAATGAACGAGGGGAAGGGTTGGATAAAGATGGTAACGAGTTGCATTTCACAAGTCAAAATTGAGTACAAGAGGCGAAAACGTAAATTTATGTGTACAGTATTGGACATCTGATTTGCTGAATGTAATAATTAGGATTGAAACCTACTTATGTATATAAGTATTTTATGTAATGGTCTGAACAAGACAGTCAGAGTATATGGTTTGGACAAGATTTATCTTGATGACTAATACGATTGCTATCAGGGGATCCAGTCCTCTTATTCTTCTTCTTGTCCCCTTGATCAAGTCATCTCCATTCCTGCCTCTCAATGTTTCCGAGGGGATGTCTTCTAGTGAATTAAGAGCGGTTGTCCTTTGGCATCTTGATTCTGAGAACTGGATTTGTTGTTACTAAAGGTATCCGTCTAGATGCTATTCCTCGTAACTCCCTCCATTCCTAAAAGAGAGTGGCTATTGAGACTAGTGTCCTTAGAAGTAAAGCTTTTGTTTCCAGCTGAAGTATTTGAAGTGTTGTATTAATTAGAACCCTTTCTACTTCCCTTCTAGTTCTAATATTACTTTAATAGATTATTTTATACTCCTTGAAATCAATACTGTGATCCAATTCCCAACTATGGTTTGCTCCAGCACTATTTCCAGCCATGATTATACATACTTTTTTGGTGTTCATTTCTGATCTCAAGTTTATGCTGTTTTCCCTACATAGACTTTGTTGTAAGGTAATATATAAATGCCTCATCGAGGCATTTATATTATAAACCAAAAAATTCTTTTGAACTTTGGGGATGTAAGCTGTAAAAGGGGCTGCAGTGCTCTTACCAGTATAATAGATGGTGGGAAACGGCACTTTCTAGGTGACATGTTGGCCACTCTCACACTTGCGGGCATCTAATAGAATACCTCCCTGCTCTATTGTCCAAATTACATTATTCCATTTAGTTGTGAATCTCATGGAATGTTCAGATTTTCAGGATGTTCATCTGTCTTCATTTCCTAATATATCTTAAGGTCATTTGTCCCTTGATTTAATCTTTGGCAATTTTGTTTTGTTATTAAAAATATGGCCCTGTTTTAATTTTTTCACAGTGTATAATTATAATTAATAATACAGTACCATTAAACATACTTGTAAGGTATCAGAACGGATATTACAGTAATGTAATGTAATTATGACTTTTCTTTCATGACAGCCCTGCAACAGATGGGCTACCGACTCTCCCCGCAGTTCGTTAGCTTCTTGGTGACCAAATTTTCACCAAGGATGAGAAAGGTTACACTGGATAATTTCATTGTCAGTAATATTCAACTTCGCAATTTGACGGAAGCCTTCAAGAGCCGGGATCGTGAGATGAAGGGTGTCATCACCATCACCTATGAAGAATTTATCAGCCTTGCCTTTACAAGTCTTATGTAATGTTTATCTTCTGATAGCTATGGCTGTTCTTTTAGTTGTAAGGCATTTTTACTAACAAATATAAGCATCTGTTAAAGAGAGAGAGAATGTTCTTCTGTGCTTAGTTTTCTAGATACACTATTGGATTGGAAGAGATTTTTTGTCATTAAAAATTTCATACCTTCAGGAGCTAGTTGGAAGATTGTGGCCTTAAGTGTAGATAGGTAATAATGTGATTTTACTGGCTACTCAGTCTGGCATGCATAAAAACCCACCTGATACAATATAATATCTGCCACCTAAACTGAGTAGAGAATAACCATTTCATTACATGGGTAATATGCAGGTTCATCTCAAGTTTCCGGTACATGAAGGAACTTTGCTTTTAACTTTTTTTTTTTATGAGCATCAGTAATGGTAATAAGACTACACACGCCAGATGTTGCAACATCAGGTAATGTGTAACCAGTTGGTTTATCCAGTTGAAACACACCATGATTGAGACAGAATTTGGTTACAGTAGTTATGTACAAGAATGTTAGTGACTGTACTGTCTACTACTAAAACCAATTTTAATCTGTCAATTGTTTATACAGTCTTGGGAAAATGGTGCAGAATAATGGTGTTATATTTTTATGTTGTTACTAATTAACAGCTGCTCTGTGATTTGCTGAAAGGGCAGTGATATTTATAAAGGTTTTTAAGGTATCAATAAATTAATTACTGTACTTTGAGTAACTTTTTTTTTTAATAATCTGAATCGTATGGAATCATCCTTAAACAGCCTAGACAACTAACCAGGGACAAGGGACATTGATCTGTAGAACCTAATGTGGGCAGACATTAGACCTATGATGCAGATGGTGCTATATATGCTTATGCTCAGATCCTAGATATTTGGGATGTCAATACATGGAAAGCGATATTAAAGGTATAACATTCCCCGAGGGTTTTAGAGACCAATGACTGACAGACGTTAGGAAAGATTTCCAAACCTAAAACTTTGATGTCCTACGAGTGGTAGAACTATCAACAAAATGAAAAAAATTAACCTAAATTCACCAAATTTATGCAAATGGCTAAACTTAATAGTATACCATTTCTCTAAGGCACTTATCAAAAGAAGGCACCAAGCCAGGAAGACTGTAGCACCAATCTGTATTGGTGAAATCACACTGATATACTGTATATCAATGAGAATCAACTGGAGCTCTTAGGCGACTTGAACCCACGACCAACAGACTGCCAGCCGCCACCACGCCACGCCCGACTTCCTGTCGATTCGGTAAAATCTCATGCTGTATAACTTATACCAGGTCAGGGTGGCAAATGACAGTCCATTGGTTATTTGTTCAAGTCACCTAAGAGTTGCAGTTGATTCCATTCACCTGGACTATAGAAGACTCGAACCGCGGACCCCACGCGTGTAAGGCCGAAGCTCTGTCGACCGAGCTATTGAGTAGTTTTAAGGAAAGATTCCAGTGCTCCTGGAATTTTCGACTTTCCCAGATTACTACTGAAGCTCAAGGGGAGCTATACATTTGGCTAAATAATTCCAGTTGATTTTATCATCTGTATTAGAAAATCCATAAGAGCCTTGACGAGAAGACCTATGTGCTGGGTATTCTCAGACACACGCCCCAGACAACAGCACAGAAATGGATTGCAACCTGGTAGGTGGAACATTCCTAGACGACAGAGCCAGAGTGCATGGGAGAGGATTGTGTGATACACTGGTTCGGCTTCAGTGGATGCCTCAGGAACTCTCAGGGGTTCATTAGAACCCCAGGTTGCAATCCTTTTTCATGTGACCTGGTGCCTGGGAATACCCTGCACATAGTTTTGAATCCTCATCATTGCTCATGGATTTTCTCATTGATATATCATGTTTGTGTGATTGCTCTCTGTGTATCATCTGTATTGCTAGACATTGAAAAAACACTTGATATGCACGAGGTGTTAAGTATCTCTTTAACACTAACGTGCCTAGAGCGTGCGCTCTGCAGACTTTGACGTCACGCTCCTGGCGGTGCGGGCGAGCATGCGGCGACACCGAAATGTGAATACTCATTTAAGTTTTCTCACCTTAATTCTCGTGCCACGTCGTTCGTTTTGGTATCTTTGTGTTCGCAATAGAATTCCCAACAGGTTTATATGCATGTGTCCAAAAGCCTGGCGTGACTCCCCACAGCCAAGCCTAAAGTCGGCAAAAGTTACCTGTGAGCACCAAAATCTGTAAAAATGTGTATACTCGTTTCAGTTTTCTCGCCTTAATTCTTGTGCTATGTCTTTCATTTTGGTATCATTGTGTTCGCAATTAAATTCCCTGCAGGTGTATGTGCATATAAGGTCCAAAAGCCCGGCGTGACTCCCCGCAGCAAAGCACAAAGTTACCCGTGAATGAGCACCAATTGGCAGACCGCAACCTTAATGTGTATACTTGTTCAGTTCGATAACAAATTTTTGTGTTACATCTTTCATTTCGGTATAAAATTGTTCGCAATATAAAGGCCAGTATTTTAAAACTAGTCCCATAATAGCACAATAAATGGAATTTTAACAAACATTTTAAAATTTGGACCAAAAAAGTATTTATAATCTTTCCAGTGTTCTGACATCAATTGTCATGTTACATCTTTCATTTTGGTATCAAATTGTGCACAATCTAAAGGCGCTCATTTTAAAACCACACTCAGATTGATCGGATAAAATTTAAATTTTTAACAAATATTTTAAAATGTTGGACGCCGCTTGCATCCACAACTTGGACTCGAGAGAAAAATTGTGGATGCTAGGGGCGTTCGAAGAGTGTGATAATGTTAAGATGCCAATATGGGAACATGATAAAGAGAGGAGTGAGAAGGAAGACGAGATTGAGTGGGAGAGGCCCATAGTGAATAAAGGAGGACGAAAAGGCAGAGTGGTGACATGATTGGAGGTGATTGGAGTGGTGACATGATCTGGAGGACAGGCAGGGTAAGAACTGGAAGGTAGGACAGAAACTCTGGCTGGTGGCATCAAAAGAACACCGACAGACTTTGATTGTAGGAGGGTGGGGGATGAATGGTAGCTAGTGGATGTTTCGGGTACAGGCCCAGAAAGGGCCCGGGTACAGGCCCAGAAGGGGCCCGGGTACAGGCCCAGAAGGGGCCCGGGTACAGGCCCAGAAGGGGCCCGGGTACAGGCCCAGAAGGGGCCCGGGTACAGGCCCAGAAGGGGCCCGGGTACAGGCCCAGAAGGGGCCCGGGTACAGGCCCAGAAGGGGCCCGGGTACAGGCCCAGAAGGGGCCCGGGTACAGGCCCAGAAAGGGCCCGGGTACAGGCCCAGAAAGGGCCCGGGTACAGGCCCAGAAAGGGCCCGGGTACAGGCGTGGAAACTTGTGGAACATGATATAATGCCCTAGCATGTCATGGTAGAAAAGGAGGAAACAAATGCAATCCCAATGTCTAAGGTGGAAGATAGCCTGTTCAAATCTGTAATGTAGATAAGCATGCCAAAAAAACAGGGTGGACATCACTGCCGTTGATGCAGTGAGCATGGGAGAATAAATCTGAGAAACCACAAAAGGGAAGGGGGAGGAAGTGGTAGCGATGTGTTTTTGAGGTTCCTTACCCAACTTTCCAACACCTATTGCAGAGGTACTGAGAGATGTGTTTTGTTTTAAAATGGACTAATGTTTTCCCATTCTCTGTGGCTATACATAATGCTTTTGTGCTAAATACACAACTGATACCAAGAAATTTACATCCCTCCAGTTGACAAAAGTACTGTAATCATTTGGTCACTAGTATACTTTGAGTACAGTACAAGGATTGATTGGCCTCTCAAAAATGACAAACATGAGGATGACAACAATTCTACTAGTGATAATGTTGCAACACCCAGGCCATCAGGTGTGTTCTTATATGTAAATATTCCTTTAGAGCATTCTATTACAAACAATTAGATACCAAATTGAACGATGTAGTAGCACAAAAATTGAGGTAAGCTGAAAAGCATATAAACATCGCTCGGGCTACCTTGGGGTGTGCAGTGGCCTGCCCACCGGGGACGCGAAAGTGTAATTATTAAGGGGGAAAGATGATGTGATAACCAAACCACACATCAGGAGATGGAGAGATGACGTTTCTGTCTGTCCTGGACCAATATCGTCATGCAAGACTTGATAATTGTCGTTCATTCATCTTATGTGTGGTTGGGTCATCACATCTTCGGCCACATAATTGTGACTTATTGTCTGACGATGATGATTGCAAGGGGCCGAGTGAATGTGTCAATCTGGAGGACAGGATAACTCTGGGCTGCAAGAAATATTATCCTCATGGCAGTCCTTTCACTCTCTGTCATCTCAACATTGGGTGGAAGAAGAGTACCAAAACTGTGGCCTCACCAATGAGATAGGGCAGCTAGGCGAGTGGCTACCTCTTTACAGTCTCCGTGGTGTAGTGGTAAAGACACTTGCCTGGCGTTCCGCGAGCGCTATGTCATGGGTTCGTATCCTGGCCGGGGAGGATTTACTGGGCGCAATTCCTTAACTGTAGCCTCTGTTTAACGCAACAGTAAAATGTGTACTTGGATGAAAAAACGATTCTTCGCGGCAGGGGAACGTATTCCAGGGACCTGCCCGAAACGCTACGCGTACTAGTGGCTGTACAAGAATGTAACAACTCTTGTATATATCAAAAAAAAAAAAAAAAAAAAAAAAGGGGGCTTCGACAATGTAAGTACAAGTTCCAGGGGCTGCAGCTGCTGGGCTGAACTACCAGATGAAGGAACATAAGGGAATGTACGGGTCACCATGCACGGCTATCACACAGAAGGGCACTGTGCTTGTGCACCATCATAATAAGGTGGAGGGAAAGGGAAGCAGGAGGCACCCTGACCTACCTGTGGATAGCACACAAGCTCTTACCTCGTCAAGGAGACATTCACTGATAAGGGACTTCCTCTTAACACATACATGTTAGGCATATCTTTGCTTGACAAAAAGATATATAAAAGATAGATATTGAATTTTCAAATATCCATAATATTTAATTGAGTACACCCCAATTAAGCCTCCTTGCATGTTTTCCACTTAGAATTACATAATCAACATTGCACTGATGACAATAATGCACAAAGAACCACTTAGAATGCAGGAAATTGTAATAAATAGTTGAAAGAATATATATATATATTTATAGTACTGTACTGTCATTTTACTTAAAAGATTATCACTCACAGTTCACTTTGGGACAGATTTAAAAATTAATAATTTTTAAAATAGTATATAGGCAGCCCTAAATGTGTGCAGCATCTGTAATGATGACATTAGGCACTTTTGAGCTTTGCATTAAAGTAGGCAGAGGAAGCAAGATATTATACGGGGTCTATTGCTTTCTCACTAGTATTAGCAGCTACATGTTTTTGTTTTAACTTTTTAAATTACAATCTTGTTTTATTGCACAGCCCAAACATTCTGCAATTCACTGTGCACCAGACTATATCTGAGGATGAAAAGTGTAGGGTGCATTAAATATTCAAAGTAAAAAAATTTGAAACTGGCATTTTAGATATAATCTAATATTTCTCAGTGCCTCTAATGTGATATGTACAGTATTTTTCCAGCAAGCAAAATAAGCTGGAGTAATGTTAAATCAACATTATGAATGTAAATTCAATGTTACATCAATGTTGTTTACCTTTGGGGGGGATTTTGTTCCCTTCATAGGCTTTCCAGAGATG